CTATAGCTCTATATCGTAGGGTCGTTACAACTACCTGGGACTACTCTGGTGACCCTTCTGGATAGCTCACGCTAACTCCGTCAGTTTTGGTCCGTTTTACTCCCTTTTTTTTGGAGAAGGTACCTGACCTTCGCACCCTGGCCTCCCTATATATCTTGCAAACAGCTTCCAAGTCGGACGGACGGCAGCGACATATACAGTGTTATAGACATGTCTTCATAGACTCCATTTAACTAGTAAGATGGCAACTCCACCCATTTTAGCCCATGGCGCTCAGGGCGAACCCTGGGGCTGCAGGTACCTCTTAGGAATAATACTGCCAAGTTACAGCATGTTCGGAGCACTATAGCTCCTCCCGTAGTCTTCCAATCAGTATGCAAGCAAGTACCTATCAATTGTTACTGCGTAACAAACAAACCTAACATTTCCTGGAATTCCTCCAAGAACATTTCCGACGGAAGGTAGGGTAATAGTGTCCAAAGGTAGGGTAAGTATGTCCATAGTGACATGAAACTGGTCTCCATAGTAGGGTAATGTGACTCTCCTAGACAGGGTAAACTTACTTGGCCTTCCAACCTATTCTTAGGCCAGAGTGGACATAATCACATTACTTCCACTACTTAGATACACCTATTCCTGAAGTACCTTCTGTTCTTTGGGATACCCAGTCCATCGGATATCCTTCGGACATGCACCTGCATGCCCGCCTTGTCTACCATCTGACCTCGTAGTCTTATATATGGGTGTAGACTTAGGTTGCCATAGCTCTATAACATAGGGTCGTTATATCAGGTACATTGCCACTTCCACTTGCCATTTGCAAAAAACTCAGTACCATTAGCTGGAAGCCAACAGTATCCTTTTCGGGACTTCCGCTTTATGAGAAATGCTGCTGGAACATTAGAATATGTCCCTCCAGAACCTGGTTGACTATAAAGACGAGATTCTGTATCTTCAATCAGATTACTAACAGCCGTAGGAGTTAAAAGACCACTTAGTGCAGAACTTAAGGTTGAGCTCCCCTGTTCTATTGAATTCTGAGCTGCATAGTTAAGTCCAAGTTGGAAGTTTGAATCAAAAAAAGAAGAAACAGTTTGCAATGCAGAATCATTAGGGTGAAGGGTACTGGGACTACCATGTGGTGGAGAGGAAGCCATGATATCTGCTATTATGGAGTCGTGAGGTAGGATCGAGGATTTCATTTACTTTCTGAATTATATTCATGAAACTCCAGGGATTATATAGTTATTTAATTTACAAGTAAAATTTATAAGCGAGGTAGGAGCCGGGCCACACTTCTGTTCGTGAATCCGATAAACCTATCTTACTTTGCAGCATTCTAGTGTGGTATAAGCATGAAGAAACAAACAGTGTGGGTCAGGATCTTCAAATATTTGTGGGCATCTTCAAATATCTATGGGCATCTTCAGATATCTGCGGGCATCTTCAGATATCTGCAGGCATCTTCGGATATCTGTGGGCATCTTCTACTATCTGCAGGTATCTTCAGATATCAGCAGCGCACAGACACAACACTTACTGGTCCAGTGGCATGTGTGCCAGGAGCCTACTGGTGCCCCCAGGCATCCATTTAGCCTACAGGCTTCACCAAAGCCTGGCCTACAAAGCCCAGGTCAGTTTCACATTGACCTGGCCGGACCGGAATGCGCATCTGCAGGCTATCTGCAGGCCGGCCTGGCCGCCTGCGAACGCTGATTTTCTAACGGATAGCTATTTAATTCAACTCAATCGATTATTATGCCGTTGCCGGAAATAATTTCACCTGTATTCGAATCAGCAGCGCAGGACGGCGAACAGGATGAGTCAACCTTTTACGGCCCCTATAATGTCCTTCTCACCTACTTGTTTCCAATCCAAGAGGAGTACATGGTGGTGCCGCAGTACAAACGTCCAACTCAGCTGACATCGGTGGACTTCACTACCATCTTTCTCGTTAAGCACAAACACCATCCTGTGTTTTTTGTTGAGGTTAAATCTTCTGAAAGTCTTCGCCATATCTCTAGTCGCCGTGAAGCAGACCTGCAAATGCGGGAAAGATGCGAGCGTCTTTTTGAGTACGTTGAACTCCAGACCTTGTATGGAGTGAGTGCGATGTGAACTAAAATTTGTATCTACCAGCTCGATAGGGCGAGCCGCCGGTTAGATCCAAATGCCATAGGAGGGGATCCCAGATTTGTCATTGATACAGCATCAGCACACTACCGTAATCTGGATATTATGACCGCGGAGGGGGAAGAAAAGCTTCGGGAAGTTGTTCGCCACATAAAGGCAATGTCCAGCGGGCTCTAAAGGCTGGTCTTTCAGATTTCAAGTTGCAGACTGAAGCTAATAGCATTGTATTTCTAGGTACGAATTTGTGTGAGATGAGCGGCGTTGGTTGGGGGGTATGGGAAGAAGCGTGTTGGGACCTGGTGATCGTGGGTGGGGGGGCATTAGTGGCTCTTCGTTTTCGCCGTGGTGGTGTTCTGGTTTGTGTTTGTAGGAAATTGCGGCTTGTTCATGATTGAACCTGGTCCGCGCGGGTAGGGGGGCGTTGGTGGCTCTTAGTTCCCATCTTTGTAGTGTTCCACCTTCTGTTTGTGGGGCATTACGGTTTGTTCGTTATTGAGCCGGGTGCGGGTGGGGGCATTGGTGGCTCTTTCTTTCTGTCTTGGTGTTCTAGTTTCTGTTTGTGGCACTCTTAGAGTTTGTTCGTTATTTTTATGGACGAGGATCTGGCACCCGGTACCGAAAAGTTGCCAGGAGATTTCACAAAGTAGATCTACTTCGTAAGAGATCATGTGTATTCCCAGGGATATCATTAAACTCCGCAATCAGAGGCACATATACCCCACCCTCACTACCCCTTCCCCTTAAACTCCTCATTCTTCGCACACCACCCATCCAGCCTCTCAGCTGCCTTCTTCTTCACTATCCCATCCAGCATCCCCACAACTCTTAATGCGGTCCCCATCATCCCCAAGCTCTGCTTCGCCCAAGCCGCCAAGGGGAACTCATCCACCTGCTTCCAGATCTTCCCATCCTTGACCTCAATAGTCGCCCTAATCTCGTTGTGCACGGGCGCGGTCCCGTAAAGGTAGTCGCATGTGTATGTCGTGATATATGTGTTCTCCTTCGGACCGGGTATAGCAGGGGTGGTGTGCGTGACGACCATCTTGTTCTTGTCGCGGTTCGTGATGAACATGTGGAACATGGCGCGACTGCGGAGGCTGTTCAAGTCAGGGAATGCAGGGTCGGCGAAGGTGTACTCGGGGTGCCAGAGGTTGGTTAATTTTTCGTAGTCCCTAAGGCAGATGTTAGCGCTCCACCGATGGTTCCCTCAGAAAATAGCTAGGTTCGTAAGGCTATGCCTGGGCTGGGGCGGGGAGAGGAGGGGAATGCGGGGACAAGTAATACATCTCCCTATAAGCCCCAATATACTCATTCACTAAATCGGCCATGGTGTTTTATTTGCGCTTTTTTTCCTCCAATTCTTCAATTGCAACCTGCGATATCTCTTCTACTGTCCGCGCTAGGGGTTAGTTTCCACGGGTGGGGGTGGGGGTGAGAGAGAAACTTAAAAAGGGGTGAGATTGTATTTAATTTAAGCTTTTTTTTTTCCGGCCCGGAAGAATGTTTTTGGAACCGAGGTACAAGTACATACGGCGCCAGCGAGCTCCTATGATGCCTAATTGTCCACTTTGGGGTATTTTCCTTTGTGATTTTTCAGCTGGATTTGGAAGACCTTTGTGTTTTGGTGATGGGCGTTTGCCTAATGCAATCTTTGGTTCTGGGCACGGAATTGGTTGGGACCCAAGGCTGAGTTACAAGTACGAGCACTTGTATGATACCAGTGCATTTCCTCGGTTCCGGTAGGAATACCGAGTTCAGTCAGGCGCTGTCCACACTATTCAGTGTTCACTCTCGCTGGATTCGGTTTAATTATCTGCCGGGCATTTGGCATTGTTCGGATGTTAAGCATCCCCCCCGGATTGGACCGGGTGCTGGTCCGAATGAGGAAGCCAAAATCACGGGCTCTCACTATGTGCGTTGTAACGGGTGAGACCCATATAATCCTCGTTCAAAGAGGGAAGGTCTTTTTCAAAATAAAATAAAATTGATGAGTAAGCGATACTCAAAATGGATATGTTCGAAGAATCATAGATTCTGGCAATGGGTTGGCTTGACGCACAGTGTCGGTAGATGTGGTCAACTATAGGGGTTGGGGCATCCTGAGCAAGTGCTTACCGGTGGGAGCCAGGACAGAGGAGCTAAGTTATGAAGTTATGATTGCATCTATTGTATCGCCGAGAAGGAGAAAAAAAATACTGGCTAGACTTCTAGATTATTGGACTCAAGCGTCGGGAATTAACTGCAAGGCATGGATAGACCCCCGGTCATTCTTTTAAAACTCCCTTTCCCTCTCCCACATTCCACTCTAATCTCTATTTAGAGAAACTCCCATCTTCGGAAGTTTCTCCCAGGGGCACCACTCTCCCCTGTGAAGCTACTTAAGCAAGTATAGAAGCGCAGAACCCGCAGCACCCACTCCCCCAAGAAATCTCATAACACCCCCCATGCACTCGGTATCCCAAGGCAGCGAATAACTGCATTGGCCCAACATCTTCTGTGTGATGATCTTGCCAAGGCTCCTGCCTAGTATCCCGCGTGCCCACGGGTGTTGTGGGCCCTAGCTAGGCGGGGTAGCGCGCTGTTCTCAATACGCGAGTGATGAGTATGGTGTTGCGGGTGGATGGAGCGACCTGAGGATTATCGATTGCCGTTGCACGGCCGGAAAAGTGGAGCGTTGGGTTTAAACTATCTTTTTCGGCTCTGGTCCCCCGGACGTAATGACCTCTATCCTCGCAGCTCTCAACTAATACAAGTCCCGTGAGTCCGTGCAGATGCACCCAAGGCATATGACTTGAAGTCTTCGAATAGAGACATAGATTTCAAGATCGCAGGGTATCAGTGATGGCATTCAAGACTCTAGGATCCTGATATCAAACACTACTTGCACGAAGGGCCTGCTCCTAGTCTAATAGAGTTTCGTACTTTAGTGTGGCCCATTGTGAGCCGGGAGAAACTTGATATTCACCGGGAGGAAGAGATGGGATTATAGCATAGAAGATGTGAAGCATTTGGTATAGAAATAAGAAAGGGAGATATACGGATTGAGATATTCGAGAGTTGCCAGCCACGAAAATTCTCTGGTTCATCCGACTACCCTTTTATAACAGAAGAAACCCCTTTCATACCGTCCACCTGTGCCAACCCCCCCAGGATCATCAATCTTCCAATCCTTCATCAATCTTCCATTCACCCCATTTCTCCGCTCGTGCCATTTCTTCACTTATGCCATTCCTCCACTCATGCTATTCCTCCCCCCTCGTACGTTTTTCACTCCACATTTGCCACATATCAGGATAGCTGGACATCTAAACTAGAAAGGAAAAACAAAAACAATGCAACCATTCCAACAAGATGCTCACAGGGTGTAAAACTGGATGCCCTGGGCGTGAGAGCTTTGACCCTAGGCCTTTTTAGTGTGGGTATTTTGTTAGTAACTATACGGCATGCTGTTACTACAAACCAGCAGCGCTGGGAGGATGACGGGCCCCTTCGTACCGGTGTTGTAAAACCTATGCCCCACGCACTAAGAAATTTCTTGTTTCTAGAGGCAGGTGAACGCTTTCAGAACATTTCCTGAATTTGGTATCATACTTATGATTTCCCGTTTTTTTTCTTCTTTTTTCCTGAATTGCTCAGCCACAGCCGTTAGCTAACGGTCATATTTACCATATCGTGAGAGCACCGGATTTTGGTTACCTCCGGGTTGTGAGCCATCAATCTGGATATTTTTTCAACCGGGCTCCCGGGTGTCAGCGGCTTCATGGTGGGAGCTCCTTGCGTGTGATTTCTCATCACAAGAAGCTGAGGAAGGGCAGGGATCAGTTGACGAGTTTGACCGTGTCATCCGCCCAAGGCATAGTGTAACTGTGTTCCTCCTTCCTTTCCAATCAAGTTTCTCCAAAAGCCATGCACCGGCAAGGTGACAAGTTTTATCGTGTCACTCGTCCACGGTATGGATCTCTCTGTGCTCCGATGTAAGCTTTTGCACACTTTGGTCGGATGGAGGGAATTTTTATGCAGTCCCAAAGCTTCGGAATAGTTCAAGGGTGCCATTTCACATTGCAAAGATATGCATGACAATGGATATTGCCAGATTTGAAGAATGGGAATTTAACAATTAAACGCGAATAAGCCTTGTGGTTTCTCTTGAGAGTTGGGGGAAAGCGCAAAATTGATTACTGGTAGGCGCGGTAGATCACGCGCACCGTCCGGGGTACAAGTACAGTACTACAAATTCCCGGAACAGAGGGTCAGCTACCATGGATCCGGTACAAAAGGGCAGTTTCACTAATACTCGTGCTATTGCGGAGTGACTCCTGGGTCAACCTTCGACTGGCCTATCCCTATCTAGATGCTTACCGACCCAGTTGTTTTTATTCCTGCTGCCTCATCTTCAGTTCTTGGAGATGGTTCTCTGAATATTGCCATGATTGGTTGGTTGAGAATGCCTTACCGGTACCGGTACTGCACTACCAGGGCTATGCAGACTCGGATGTCACTGCAGGGAGAACATTTGTCCTGGTCAAGTGATCAACTATTTAAGCGCTAAGCCAACCTAGGAATTCATAGCTAAGCCCATCCGGCACTGCCAGTATCGGTAATACGAAGAACCGGTTCCTCCTCAGTCCCCCACTCAAATGTATGGGTACGCTCCCGTTCGCAAGGTCTTCGTTGAAAGAAGGGTTACAGTGACAGGGTCTTGGCGACGAAGAAGTACCGGCACTATACCACGTACTATACAAGACTACCAAATACCGGTATTTGCGTTCCGAATTGTAAAGGGCAACAAAACTTACGCATCAACTCGGGGTAGCAGCAAAATTCGCTTATTTCTCATAGAAGACCTCCGGCTGCTACCGGTGGCAGTGCGGGTGTTACAAGTACGTTGGAGCCGAAACCGTGGATCTCCGTGAAGGCTCTGCGAACGGGAGCGTACTCGGGCACGAGGGGGAGTGGTTTCTCCAAAGACTCTTCCCGCACCGCTCAGCTGATCCTTCCCTAACTCTATTCGATGCAGGAAGCCAATTAGTTTTGTCACTCCGGGAGGGGGGGGGGGTAGAAAACACCGGCGAAGGGTTCTATTCCGGGCAATTGGGCTCGGGATAGGACCGAGTGGTCGTTGCAATATAATGCAACCTACGGTGGAACAATAGTAATATTGTACCGGTAGTTGGGATGTGGAAATGAGACCAAATGGATTCTGGGGTTCTGATTGGAGCGCTCTGTGGCTCGGACCAACCGAGCAACCGTGTTTCCAACACGGATTTTCCCATTTTTTTCTACCGCAGGCTGTGACAGTACGAGTACATGTACCAGTGGGGGACCGTAAGCCTGTTCGTGATACTTTGATTGGATATTAAAGGAACATTTGATAACTATCAAATTTAGGAAGCCCTCATCCCTGGCCAGGTTGGAAGCCCGGGTGTCCTCCGGGCGCTAGAGGTCCTGAGGTACTGTACCACGGAACGAGGTAATACGGTACCATACACCAAAAATATTAGGCCACTAGATTTGTTTGTACTCGAGTAGTGGCATGGTCACTCAGGATTTTTGTTTTCCAAATTTAACTTAGAGGGTTTTTCCGGACGAGGTGTCCTCCGGGCAGGGGGGCCAAGGCTGCTCTCCCGATTGGTTGCACTGTGCTCATTGTGTGTGTAAATTTGAATTAGGCCCCTACCGGTACTCTAATTAGGAGCATGTTATCGGGTTTCAGAAATTAAGGTTGCGATAAGACCTAGGCGGCATCCTGTTTATCATACTGGTATATACGGTACTTTCATGTCAGTTAGAGTTTCATTATATAGTCCAAGGCACATTCCACGGAAAATTCCTCTGGATTTAGCCTAGCCTTTGTTTTGTTTTTTACAACTAGGTAGAGAGTGGGCTCTGATCTACACCGCACAGTGGTATATTGATAGCAGTTTTAAGCCGAATTCCTTTTGAGCCAATCTCTACCGGGACGACAGGATTGCTATGAACACTGCACCCAATTCCTTGCAGCTATCATATTTCACAGCGGTTTATGCTATACCCTACCATCGGCTGGGCCCTAGGGAATTACCGTCTCCCCCCCTCCCGTTTCCCACCGTCTACCCTCTAAATACCGGTCTGTTTGATTGCATTTTCGTTGGGAATGCACAGCCATCGCACACATCGCTCCCACCCCGCCTAGGTGAACACAAGCATATTACCCCACCCACCGCCTTTGAAATCAATGGGCTCTCACAAGGCGCCATGCTATCTACCGTACTTCATGAAGCTCTCCTTTCCTTCCCGCTCCGGAAAGACGCCTTCTTCCCTTCGGGAGCTATGTGAATATCTGCGGCACAATTCATGGTAACACACCCGCATTCCCACCAAACAAACGAAACTCCTACAAGCGCTTCTGATACGAGGCTTATTCTCAAATAACTCATGCGGAATTGCACGGTAGACCACCCTCAGCCCTACGTTCAAAAATAGGAGTTTACACTTTACACGCCTCGGAAACTGGTGTGTTGCGAGCGCAGAAGTCGGGAACAAAATAGTGAGCATTATACGGTGGATAACTGGAGTTTTGGCAGCAGTGATGCACTCAAGAAATAGGGCCCTGGAGAATCTCCACCCCCTCTTCTCCCAGCAATCTTTGAACGAATATGGTTGATAGATCAGGTGCCGGCGTCCAATTCGGTACTTCTATCAAAATAGGTGGCTCTATTCAAGCTCCTGTTGAGGAGCTAAAGGCGTGTGTTTTCAGGAAAGCCGGCTGTGGTGTACCACTAATCTTCGCGACATGATTACCCCTGCTCCGGACCCTATATTGGAGTTTTGTTTTTCACCAATGATATTTGTACCCAGCAATGAGTATGTGAAAATACGGCTTGTGTTACATAACCATGTACGATAATTGCACTTTAGGCGAAGGCATCCTCGAAATTATTCCAATGAGATATCGGGCATCTGTGCTGCCGGAACCGCTCCCGTGGTTTCGGAGGAGGTACCCTCTAGTACTCTACTGTTGCGGCCATAAGTGGGGATGTCGTGCCCGGCCTGGCGGCCCGCTAGCTGTGGGCCCCGAGGTTTCCAGCCTAGTTTTAACGGTGGGGTGGTGGGTTGGTGATTGGGCGTGCATAATGTGTGTGTTCTGATGCAGGTCTCGACATTCAGGCGTGAGCCCGCACCGTGAATGCCTTCGACGCCGTAGAAACTTCGAAAAGATGTTCAATGT